TCCAGATGAAACGCAAGAAGTTAAAGACTGGAAACAGCATGTACAACCCGCGTTCTCCTGCCCCGCCCCGTGGTTCTCTCTGTCTTTGCCCCGGGTCTCTGGAGTCAGCCGGACTGCTCCTGCACCCCGCTCCCATGCCTGACCCTGCTTATCCCTGGGCGGGATCCGACCCTTTCTGCAGAGCACTGTGCGGCCCTGGAGCTGCGGTAGCCGCAGTGCCAGAAACAGTTGTGGTCTTCGCGACCGCTCACGCTCCCGTGGGGTCCCCTGTCCCTCCTCCTCCGAGAGCTGCCCTGCGAGGCCGGCGCGGCCTGCGCTCCCCACCCGGAGTTGCGGCCCAGCGCTTGTCTGGAAGCTTTTCTGGCAGCCCAGCCCGACACTGGAAATGGCCTCGGCTTCCTGGGGCAGGGAAATCCGCCATAGGGCGGATGCGCTGCAAATCGCCTCCCTCCAGCTGGGGCCCGCACCCGCCAGCCCCCCTGATACACCTCAGTCTTCTCTTCCCGGGCCCTTGGCTCTCTCCAGGCCGGAGGGAGGAAGCCCCGGCGAGCTATTCGTGCCCAAAGCGTCCTCAGATGAAAGCGGTCTGGTTTGTCCAGGACGTCAGAACCCGGAGGCTGCCTTTCTCCCTGCATCCGCGAGGGTTAGCTCTGGGCCTCGCGTGGGGTGCGAGGCAACCCTGAGGCTTAGGACTTCAGTCAGCGCTGTAGAGAGCACATGTCAATGTGAAGACCAATGTGTCAGTGTGTTCCCAGGGAGGGAGAAGGAAACCTCCCAAGACTGACCCAATGTAACCCCCAAGAGTGACAATGTGAAACCTGTGTGTAACCCCCAAGAGTGAAGAGTGACATCCAACCCAACAGATTCAATGTGTGGAAACCTGATATGTAATCCGCAACCCCGATATCTACTCAAACAGCCCAATATGTGTGAAGTGATAAAACCCAAACCAGTGCCACAGACCCCCAGTTAGAATGGTATAAAGGAGAGAGCGCAGAAGACCAGCTCATCCCACTCGGACTCCCGAGACAGCCCGACACTCTGCCGGACGAGACATCGGACGCCCGCCCGGCGTGCACCCCCGGATCAACACGGAGGCAAGGGGATCGAACACCGCAGTCAGCAGGAAAGGAGAAACAAAGTCGCGCTCTTCGGACTTGTGCAGGTACAGGGAGTGGCAACTGGCGAGTATGAATTAACATGTTTGATATATAAATATATAAAATCCAGTTGGCAACTACTACCGTCTCGACCTCCAGTTAGTGCACACTCCTACTCGCGACAAGCGCCTGCCATGGAGTAGTGTGAGTTGTCACGGAATTTATCTCGCAGAACTGTAGCACAGCGCTGAGGGGTCAATTTTATTCTTGTGTCCGTTTCAGGATTAGAAACAGAGGCGCAGGGAGGCACCTGGCTTGCACGGTCGCATCGGTGCGGAGCTCGGCTCAGGCTCTGACCCTGAGCCCGGATCTTCCCACCTAGTGCCGCCCTTCTGGGGTCGCTTCTGCCCAGAACGCAGAGGAGCGGCGCCCCGCAGAGACGGCGGCTCCAGCTCCGGATCTGGTCCAGCCTGCTCGGCGCAGACAGCCGGCCCTGTCTTGGTGCCATTTGTTAACTCGTGGATACACTCGCCTATTGGGCAGTTACCGTGCGCCCACTGTGCGCTCCCGCTGGTGTAAGTGCGGGCACAGCCCTGTCACCCCCAGCAGTGGCCTGAGATCTTTGGTCCTCGACAGGGACGAGTGGCCCGAACTCCCAGCCCACAGCCCGGGTACGTGAGGGTTGCGAGGAGCTGGGCGAGCTCCCGGATCACATGGAAGCCAGAGGGACACAGGAGAACAATTGACTCCATTGGAGTCAGGAGGGAATTCATTCCGCAAAGAGCCAAAGGCAAAGGAGCCTGAGGCCCGGACGGACGGGAGGCAGGATGGGGGCGGGAGAACTCCGTTGGCCCAGGCTGGGAACGCGACTCCCCGAGAGGCCTGGGGTGGCGCCGCCCCGCTGCCGGGACCCTCGTGGGCCTGTGCGATGGCTGCTGCTGTCACTGAAAGGCGATGGGGCGTGCTTCCTGAAGAAGGGCTCACTGGCGGGCTGGGTTCCCTGGACGTCTCCTGCCGGGGTTCGGATTTCCCTTGAGGGGTGCTTGGGGGTCTGGCGCCCGGAGGCGCGGCCGTCGGGGCGGAGGCTGGAGCACATCCTGAGCTGCGCGGCACCTGCG